ATGCCACCAGGGCTCCAAATTGGATTTTAGAGTATTATTACAAAGTAATTGGACTTACCTTGAAGATCAGTTTGTAGTTAACTTATGTTTTACATAAGTTTTGAGGACTGTCTTTTTAGGTCTTGTCAAAAGAATGGGTTCTAGACGTAAAAAATTCCATCCTGGTTCTCGTGGGAGCAGGGAAGAGTATCTGTCTTCTAGTCAGTAAGACCATATAGCAACTCTGTTTTAATTTTAAAGGCAGGAAGAAGCAAGTAAGTATGTAGCTTCTGTTCAGCTGTCTTGAGTCTTTACTCAAGGTCAACAGCCACATTGGAGGTCAACAGAATTTAAATTATTAAAATACTTGGTAGTTTATTATATTCATAAACAGTCATTTTGGTGTACAGATGTTGATCATGAGGCCTGATCTTCAGATTTAGAATGTGTCTTTTCATAATGGGCTATGATTATACTTTACGAAGATAAACAGTTTATTCCTTTTCATATTTTAGATTATTTTCATTTGTTCTTTTTTTTTTTAGGCTTGCAGTTATCTATTTCTTTGTGCCATTCCTCAAATGATAAGAAATCCCAAAAATCTGCTACTGAGAAGCAAAGTCCAGAGGACCATCTTTATGTTCTAGAACATAATTTACATCTACTTATTAGAGAGGTAATGAAATAAATGCTTTTCTTTGCATTGTGGTAAGCATATATAGGGCAGCGAGTGTGCACAAGCCTCCCTCCCTTCAGTTGAGTCTTGATTACTCAAAGCAGCAATAATCCCTAACCATCTGTGATGTGAAAGATCCTTGCTTTGTGCTGGGGCGATGCAGAGATCATCAGAATACAGTCCCTGTTCCTAGTGGTAGAAATATGCAACAAGTTTTATAGTAGAGGTATAAGAAGTACATGTTATATGGTGCAGAAGAAGGGGTGGTTCTGATTGCCAGTGCCTGTAAACTGGACAGTTGAATTCAATTACTTCAGGACATATTCTACCTTTAGGTTATTAGAACTGTGTTTCCAGAGGGCTGATTCACAGTTTAGGCTAATTTCAAAAGAATTCCCTGAGAAACTTAATGTTGCTGTTGTTAGGTGTCGTTCGAATCGGTTCCAACTCACAGTGACCCTATTTACAACAGAACGAAACACTGCGCAGTCCAGAAACTTAATAGAAATACATTTTCCAGCTTTCCTCGCCTCACCCCAAATTCTGGTTCAGTTGACTGTGATGATGCCTAAAGTTCTGTATTTTGAGAAGCTTCTCAGTTGGTTCTGATAGGCAGAACAGTTAATCTAGGGTATTGTGGAATAACGGAATAACTCTTTACTGATGGCGTATGTTCTGTTGATCTGACTTATTAAAGTTTATTCAGTTTTGGATTTTAAAACTTTTAAAATAAAAGAACTTGAAGAGGGCACTTCTTTACAAACATTATGCATGGCCTGGTAGATTAGCATTCATCTGTATGCTGGGATTGCTTGTATGTAATTCAAACACATTGCTTTCATATTTCTAAAATGTGAGCTCTGCTTTGATTGAATATTGCATGTTTCCTATGGTGAGTATTGGTCATTAAAACTGGCTTTTTTTGTTACAGTTTCATAAACAGACCTTAAGTTCCATCATGATGCCTCATCCAGCAAGTGCACCTTTTGGCCACAAGAGAATGAGACTTTCCGGACCCCAAGCTTTTGATAAAAATGAAATTAATTCACTACAGTCCAGTGAAGGGCTTCTGGAAAAAATAATTAAACAAGCTAAACATATTTTTCTGAGGAGTAGGTATGGATGAACACAATTACTGTTTTTCTTTGGAATTGCTTTCTTTTTCTGTCTTTTTTTTTTTTTTTCCTATTATGATTTAGGTGAAAGTTTACAGAGCAAATTAGTTTCTCATTCACAAGTTTATACACA